CATCAGAACTGGGGTATTTTTAATGAGTAAAATTGCCGATATCAGGTCTAATATTGATACTGATACTTGTATCAGGACACCACTAATTCCAACAAACTTCTTATTTTAAATATTGGCCTGTGGTTATTTACACTGAAGCCCATCTCTTCTGTTTTTGGCAATAATTGTTAAAACAGTTACACAATAACTGTACACACAGTAACAGTAAGTGTAACTATCTGATGTAGAAGWATTAACTTTATAGTGGCTCAAGTGAATATTATTGTGTTATGTTTTTCTGCATATTTTTGTTTGTTTGCTAAACCACCACAGATTTCTTTTTTTGTGTAAAAAATGTTAAGCTTGTCAATGAATAACATTTAATCCAATCTAAATCCAAACTATCCCTTTAATACTCTATCTTGTCTGACTCAAGACAGTTATTTCTGGCTGAGTTGGAAAAAAACCCTGGCCTTTCCCACTTTACCCTTCCTGAAATGCTTTTAAGAAGAAAAAAATATATAGTGAAGACTATTCTGTTCCCGGAAGCCTCAGACAGGTTAGAGCGCACTCGCCTCCATCTAATTTAACACAATAGAACACACACACATATCGCCTAGGTCAAACAGCAGGCATTTATAACCAACCTCACCCATGACCGCTCAGCCTCGGCCCGATTAATTCAGCCTCCTGAGACACGGATCCCCAGGTTAAACAGCAGCCTTATTGCCGAGAGCTGAGTGAGCCGGCCTGATGGATGAGTGCAGCCCGGAGTCCTGACMTGGCTGATAAACGTGGAGCGGCTGATCTGTTTTTAAACAATGTAGTCCTACCCACACATTTAACATCCATACTCTGAAACCAGGGAAAAGCTTTCAGAATGATTAATACCAAATTTGGCCCTTTGCAGACAAGAGATCTGGAACACTGCAGGATTTATCCATCTGTTAAACWATGGCTTTTTGGCTTTCAAACATTGAAGTTTTCATTCATTTGCTGTGTCAAATATGACAAGATTGCAGATAATTAGACTGAAAATCCTTTTTTCTTTTGACACATTTGACAAGGGAATACAGAAAGGTCTGAGTTTACGTTAGCAGACAAATTATTCATGTAGCTTTAACAAACGGCTGAAGTTGTGTAACAATTTGCATCTGCGTTCTTGCAGCCTCAAGTCAGACCTGTGAACCAACGGAGAAACAGGACAACCAATTGATGCACGTGAAGGAGATGCTAACTGGCTGCTGGACCAATTTTGTTGACATAAACGAAGCAGAGGTCCACATTTTTCATCTGCTGTGGAGCGGGGTGGTAAGCATGTCAATGTGAGATGAAAAAAAAAAAAAGATGGTCAAATGTGAACAAGTGAACCATTAGCTTTATGAGGAGAAAATGCAAAAACCCAATTTCAGTATATTAATGGAAAATAGGTACTTTTGTTTATGCCTGTTTCATCTGCTCAGCAGCAAATAATTCATCCAGCAGATGCATATACATTAGTAAATAAGGTCAACTGTAAGT